GCCGATTGAATGCGTCGCTCTTGGGCGGAGGGCAAATTTGATCGGAAATTTAAAAGAAATAAGAAACTAGAGGCACAAAATTTGCGGAGTAGGTAAACGTATACGTGACACCAGGGCCCCTCGAAGTTTATCTGGCAGCACCGCTGTGACGTCACGGCGGGGCGCCTGGACAATCCACAGCATTGTAAGCCCGAAGGAAAGGGTCTTTTTCAGAGGCAGCTTTTGGGCAGATTGAGAGGAAACAGACGGCTGAAACGTTTTCAGCGTTAGACAGAACGTGTGGTCTCTCGTACGCCAGGTGTGCTTTTAAAGCTTAGTGCTTTGGCTTTGAATTGCAATTCATTTTGCGCAGGCATTGCAACGCTATCCTAGGTGGCGCCACTAGTACCAACACCTGGTTTATGGATGACACTAGTGTTGTTCTTGGGGCTAATATCCAGTTTTCCTACATACTTACGTCTTGCTTCTCGAGGCGTTCTGCGTGTTGGAATGCAAACTGTTCTTGCTGGGTTAGAAATATATTAACATCGTGCATGCAAATGCTTTCCCTGTATTTTGTTGGGGCACCAAGGCATATTCCCGACTCATTTGCCCACCATTCTAGTCTAAACGTCAAATGATGTTCGGTCACGGTACTGGGTTACCTTCATGTGTGAGCCTATTAAGTTTGACCTGGAAATTAAAATTTGACAGTCGTCTTGCCTTCGTCGGCGCTTTAACCTTCCTCAATTGGCTGAATATTGAACGCGTGACGACGACATGCGACATTTCGATGTCACCATCAACATTAGGTGGGCAGGTTGGTGTAAGAACAAATCGTCCGGAAAACCGACGATTCTGCCCATGTTTGAGATGCGGGCCGTATGAAAAAATTATAATTCCGTGCAAACTAATAATTTCAGTGCATACTTTGAGATGCACCGGATGCAAAGCACATGTAAAAGAAAACTAGAATACAGATATACAAATGATACTAGATAATGATAATATTACAAAATGCCAGAGGCGGAGGAAGCAGCAATAATGCCAAAAGTGTCGTAGTAGTGGACAAGCAAGGTATCATGTTGTCCTCAAGAAGACACACCCGGGTACGCCGGAGCCTTTGCGTCCAGGCCAACTGGTAGAAGCGCGATGAAGTCGGGAAGGCGTCACTTGTCTTCTTCGTATCAGGACCACGCTTCCCAGAAACGCGCTCACCAGCTCCTGGAAGCGTGACAGGAGGGGGAACATGATCAGCCGCCCCCACGCCCTTCCATCCAACCAGCGGAACAGTGAGGAGCTAGTTCGGTCGGCCCAAAACTGCTACTGCTGGTCAAATGGGTACATATGAATAAATCAGTACCGGCGCTTCTTTTAAGGCACTTTGAGCCGCACCTAGCTAAATTTTAGGACCCACTGCAGCATCACCTCAAATGAAATGAATTACTTCAGATGGTGATCAAATGTCGTTTCTTGCGATGCATTTTAAATGAGTGTGTTAACCTGCACTCAAACAGGCCTGTAACCAGTCATGCACCCGTCGAAATTTGCGCAGTTTTTAATGATACCATGAGTATCCATAATTACATTTCGATAGCACTTCACCTTGATTTACCCCATTAGAAACATGGCCTGGCAGCGCACCGAGAACTTGCAGTGGCCGGCACGTCTCACGCCCCCTCCTCCCCCCGACAGCACAGCGAAGCAGACCGCTGCCGGTCCGCTGTCCAGCGCGCCACATCTTCCTCCCCCGAATCTGCGGAGAACCTCTACCACAGACGTAGCTTCCATCGGCTGACCTGCCCGTTCCTGCGATGCCCTGCGCGCCATTTCCGGCCGGCCACGCCATCCTTCGTCATCCGGCCGGCCGTGCCATACCTTGTTATCCGGCCGGCGCGCTCGCAGCAACGGGAGGCGTACGGCAAGGTCCGACGCTCTGTCACCGCCTGAGTGATGCGGTCTACTTGGCGAGTGTACTTTAAAGACGGTGCGGAGCCTGTATAAGTTATACTGCTAGCAACGCCTTTGAACTGAGCCATCTTAAGCTGCCTCCGATACTCAAAGCAAGAACGTATCCGGGAGAGGAAGGAGGCGAGAAGCATGTGACCCCAGTGCTGGTAAAAAAAGATGTGTTTTCATTCAAGGCGTAATTTTTGTTGGCAAGGTTTTTGCCTTATCCATCTCATTTTTGCCCACCTGAATTCTGGGTAAATATCTGGGTAACCAGAGATTGGTCTTATTGCTGGTTAGAGTTGGGTCCATTCCCTATTACCCACTTGTGTGGCACAACTCGGCTAAACTGCGGGAACGCTGTATTGTAGCACACGGGCTGTAGGTACTTCACAGTCAATACTAACACAAGTATTGGTAACTAGCCGGTACGCTGATGACAACCCAAGCCCGTCCGCCCCGGCTCGGCCAACGCATGTTGCCTCGCTGACATTCGCCCACTGCTTGGTAAACCAGTTCAAACTCGGCCACTCCCATCTGTTGGTGGGGGGACCGGTTCGGCAAGGTAATCGTTAGCATGTGTGTCGACGTCAGCTGTCCGGTTCTCCGAGTGTGAAGCAGTACGGTGATAAGCCCTTGGCCTCAGCATGTGGAAACAAAGTCCTCGACTGATGCGGTGGAAACATGGACAAGCCCTACTAGCCCCGCTCAGCAGAGCGTGTCTTGAGCGCAAAATCGTCGCGGCGTTGTTTATTGAGGCCCTATAGAACGGCGCTGATGGGCCACGCGACCAACTCAAGACATCTTCCTTGGAAGGGAAGGGTGCAATTTAAACTTGCACGAAATTTACTCGAAGCTGACTAAGACTAAAGACGCGCAGTAAATGAACAAAGGAATGCAGCATCGTACGCTTAAGGCAGAAAATAAACGCCCATTGATCTTTGGAGCTACAACTTCCTCAATGAACAACATGTAAAACACAACCCCAAATATGTAATGCTGACGAGCGGGTATGCCTGTCGCCTGACAGTGGCGGAAACAGGTACCAGGCCGAGGGAAGCGGCAGAAACACAGTGGCGGAAACAGGTACCACGTCAAGGGAAACGGCAGAAACACAGGGGCGGGTACAGGTACCACACCGAGGGAAGCGGCAGAAACACAGTGGCGGGAACAGGTACCACGCCAAGGGAAGCGGCAGAAACAGTGGCGAAAACAGGTTCCACGCCGAGGGAAGCGGCAGAAACACAGGGGCGGAAACAGGTATCACGCCGAGGGAAGCGGCAGAAACACATGTTATACGGTCTCACAATCTCAGTGTCAACAAACTCCATCCTGGGGACACGGGACTGATGCTGACGAGGCCGTTTCCGCTTGTGCCTTGTCTGAAGACTCATACTCACCATAGCTGATGGGTCGATACTTGCTCGAGTCGATTGAAACCGAACACGGAACGATCCAGATATATCTGGTCTCATACCTTGACCGACCAGGAGACTCCTGACAACATGAAGCTATAGATACCGTGCTGAATTATTTAGGTAGCTACTCTGATGAAATTTGTGTATATATTAAATTTGTATACGACTGTATTTTTATTTTCCAGTACTTTTGTCGACACGTCGTGACACGGGGAGCCCAACCCTGCACCCTGTAGCCAGTCTCTCAAAACAGAACTTCGTGTATTTTTGGTGTAAATTGTACATTTATGGCGCATAATCGCATAATACAGGTTCTCAAATCAACAATATACAACTTGAACTACAATCTACGACACTAAAAATACACAGAACATGTACAGTCTACGGCACAAATATACAAAAACAGTCTTGCATGAGTTTCTCAAAGCCAAGAACAAAGTTCTGACAGAGCTTAAGGTTGATAGGCCCTTGATGAATTTAGCAATGCAATCAACGCAAGCATTTGTGTCGTAGATTATAAAACTGACCTTAGGACTGTTACTTATTGAAAGACAAATTGCTGCAGCGGCAAGCCTAAACAGCATGCAACAGCTGCTAAAGGCATAACAGAGCATACGGCTTGAGTGTGAGAAGTAATAGTGAGTGTTCCAGCCTTTCAGACAAAAAGCCTTGGGTAGGGCATGCCAAGACCAAATATAGGGCAAAACTGCCTGGTCAAGGTGCTTTCTTTGCAAGAACATCAAAATATATCAAAATTGAGAGAAATTTGTGTGTCTGCCACAATACTTGTTATGGATACCAAACATTCTATGTTTATGCAAGTTGTATTCCAGACACTTTCAAAGTGAGATATGTGCAGCATCATTGCCTGCGCTGCCTACTCCGGTTGAAAACATTATTAGGTGCAATAGATGCTAACAAAATAGATTAGCATCACACATGTATTATACTCAAAAATTGATTTCATTTGGATAACACAGCTGTATGCATCTTGTGCATCACTATGCCATACGACAGCTGCTAGCCTGCATAAAAGCACATAATAGAAGCATACTTTCCGCGATCAGTCATATAGAGAAGACGCACTCAGCTGCGCAGCAGTTTAGGACGCACTCAGCTGCTTCGACTAGATGGCGACTGTCTTACCGCTGGCGGAAACGCGGGCACCGCGGGTAAGCGAACCCCGCACCCGGACGCGTTAACCACTGCACCACCGAAACCTGTCCCTGGCTTTCATATCCTGATAAGCGTTGCTTTTCAACCAAAGCGTCATAATTGTAGCTGGAGGTTATATCCCCAAAATCGTAAGCTTATGTGGCTGGTTGATGTCGAGCCAGGCAACTGAAAACTTACATATTATTTTGTCTTAATCGATGGCAGTTCGAGTGAAGGTAATACATACTCAAAACATAAGACGTGGGTTTATGGCTGCTAGAATTATCTCATGTTTGGTGGTTGTTGTCCTGGCAACGGGACACACAAATGTACGGCAGTGTCAAATGTCCAAACTACGACAAAGGTCACGTGACGACTTTAAGAAACTGGCCTTGAACGTCGTTTGTAAAATCGAAAGTACACATTAATACTTGGCTTGAGATTGCAGTTTCGCTTTGAGAAACTGGCTACTGGCGGGACTTGAGCGACATTGTCTGGCGTATGCTGTTGGCTGCAGCCGTGCGCCAGTTAACATAGGGGTATATAGGGCCGGACCGGCCACTGGGAGCGGCACTGCTACCACCGACCGCCGTCTCCCAGGTGACCGGCAGACTGGGGAGGACCACAGCGACGACTAGGGACACGAGGACAACAGGGCGAAGGACACAGTAGCGAGAGGACACAAAGAAAGCAGGGCGGAGGACTGTTGGGAGAGACCTAACAGCAGCGCGACGGTCGGACATCATCAGAGAGACGGGAGAGGACTGCCAACAGAGGACAGGAGAAGACTGGCAACCAAGGCCAGGAGAGGACAGGAGGGGAAAGCCAACGGAGGGCATAAGAGGACGACCATCGGAGGACAGGAGAGGACGGCCAACGGAGGACAAGAGACCCCCACATATATCTGACAATCGCAATACGTGATAGTTGAAGAGAAGCACGAGCAATGCGCCTGAAAAACGTGATAATGTTGATCTTTCTACTGGGTATCGTATGCAGCCTTCTCTCACCGGTGAGATAAAACCAGCCTCAGACTGTGAGCGAAATGTAATGAGTGACTAGCTCCAGATTTACCCAAAGATTAAGACGCTGTACTAGAATTAGGGATGTAATGATTCATCACACTGTCGTCCTCGTGTGGGGTATTTAGATGTGTGCAGGGTTTCGCCCACTTAATCATCATCATATAGTCCATCTTAGGACTCCGTAACACCTGACGCCCATGAGATCAGAGAGTATCAATGATTTCTGACACCACACAGCTCACGAAAGTTGGGACCAACTCTGTGTAAACGTCCTATCGTACTTCGGCTCCAAACGACGTAATGACTATCTGCCCGGTTGCGGGTGCGTTCGCATCTGCCCGCGGACCCCGTCCAACACCATCGCAAGCCTCGCCCCTCGCCATTCTCTCGGCAGGGGGCGCGAGTGACGGAGAGCCACGCGGGCGATGTCACTGGCCACTGCCGATCACTGATCTCTGACAGGTCACCAGCGACCTCTGAGCTCGGCGGCTCACCAGACGGTGCCGGTCATTCCCTCCGGCAGGCCATGGCACAACTGTCTGCGATCACTCGCCGAGCGGCCAAGAAGGACAGGAGGCTGCAAGTCATTAAACTGTCGTGCAGCCGGTGCTACAGACCCTGTGGCCAACACTGCTGCAGGAAGTGGGGCTGTGGGAGAAGAGGCTGAGACCGGCGGATGGTGACCTGGTACAGGACCTCTTTTTTACAGTACGTTTTACAAGGACAAGGCTGCCGAGAACGGAAACCAGCACAGTCTTCGAAAAAAATTCATCCACGCATTTTAAGATTTGATTACAACTCGTTGTTTGATACCTGCCGGTTCCCAAAACGCTAACGCAAGTGTTACTGGTATACAAAGTTAACATCACTGCCCGGACCATGTTGAGATCTCATGATGAAGTCTGACACTAAGATCTTATCAAAAACTGAGATCTCGTGATTAGTAGCACACTCCTGCCTAAATGACACCAAACCAGCAACAGTTATTCCCTGCATCCGATGGCAGGAAAACCGGGCTGGATCCATGTCATGTCTTGGCAAAAAAACACTGACGTACTAAAAATATGGACAATATGCACGGGGAAAGCCTCAGCGCCACACTTAGCTTAACATACAAACAATTCGCCTGATATAATTACAGTGGAGTGCTACAGGAACCAACAATTTGTGAAATTGATGTTACAACATTTTTAGATAGCTGTCGTATCAGAGTTATTGAAATACGCTGTTGAAGAAGACAAGAAGACTTCTCTCACAAGATGTCCAAATTCATCTTGATTGTTGTTTTTATTCATCATTATCTATGTTAATAAATTTCGGTAGAGAAGAAACTGCCCTCTGAAAATTTGTACATACATATTTCTTCCGATGATTTACTTCAAAGTACCCAATCATCGTGTTTTAAACCGAGGACCACGAAACAGTGTCAACCTTTCAGATTCTGACTGAAAATTTTTGAGAGTCGAAATATTCCTGCTAAGGCGAATAATGCGAAAGAGCGGATGCAAAATAAAACTACAGGGATAGCAATCTGGATCTAGCTGCTTGACCTCTGACACATGTTAGTAACCCTGAGATATCTGTCCGTGGTAAGAAAAGCATGGCTAGAAACGGTCAACTCTATTAGCTGTTTTCAAAATAACGCGATCATAATTAGAAACATTTTAAACTGTCTTCCATGACGGCAGCGAGAGTTGCGCGAGCTTACATTAGTCGTTTGGGTCTGAAGGCCATCGGCAAATTGCTCACACATCCGAGTAAATGTTGCCGCACCGATGATCTAGATAGACAAGAACTGCCTTTACGACAGCGTTTAAAGGAACGCTCCTCCCTGCAGCCGGAAATGTCCATCGCCACACCACATTCTGACTCTCTCACTCGGCGGTAGACATCCTCCCAGTACGTCATGGCGCGTCGCAGGGAAGTCACAAAATGTGCCCAGCGCCACTGCGGATTCCTCTGCGCTTTGGTGGGCGTCGTGACGTGCGGACGCCGCTGAAGCTGCTGACCTCCGCGAGAGGCTCCAGCCTTCAGAGCTTCACCTGCCACCGCGCCGCTCCCATTATAGCTCGCGTGTCAAACTCGGCCGACCCCGTTCGAGCCAAGTGGCAGATGTTTGTCCGGTGTCCTCGTCTGCAATGAAGTGGCTGGAGCAGCCAACGGGCGGCTGCACGGCGGTGACCCGGTCTGAGGGAGAGGAGAGAGGAGCCACCCGGCCGGTCGCGCGGTACCTCTTCAAGCTCGGAGAGCAGCTGCTGCAGACCGCCTGTGTTGGGCTGGTGGCAGCACAGTTCCGCGCCGAGCCAGTGCATACTGTCATGCTGGTGGGTGAGACGAGCGTGCCCAACATCACCATCTGCCCCGGTGACGGCGTGCTAGAGAGCTCGCTGCACGCTGCCCGACGCTGGAAAGATGGCAACATCACACAGTATGTGGAGGCTGCTAACCGACCCCTGGCCTGGATCCTGGGTCGGTGCCACGCCGGCGGCGCCATCTGCTGCCACACCTCTTGTGGCGCGCACGAGCGCCGGCTGGGCGGCTGGCGGCCGGTGCTAGTGCCCGGCCCACGCCGCCCGCTCCTCTGTCACCGGCTGCTGCTGGACGCCGCGGTGCTGCTGTACGGCGTGGGCGCGCGCAGCGCGGCTGTCTCGGCAGCGCGTGAGCCGGGCCAACCGCAGCACGCGGCGCTGCGCGTGAGCGCTGCCGCCACGCGCAGCGTGTCTCGCCGGCGGCAGCCGTGCCTGGCGCGCGCCGGCTATAGCCGGCAGCACTGTCTGATGGCCTGCTGGCACGCGGCGGCGGCGGCTGACGTCGGCTGCCGAGCGCTCGGCTTCGAGCCACCGCCGGAGCAGGCGCCATGCGGCAGCGAGGCGGCGCTGGGCCGGCTGTACGCGCGGCTGTACCGGAAGCCGGACGAGGCGCCGCGCTGCGACTGTCCGCCCGTCTGTCTGGTGGTGCAGTACCGCGGCAGCGAGGAGCGCCGATTCTACCCGGGCGCGCCGCTGCCCACCGTGACCCTGGTGATGGAGCTGTGGTCCATTATGATGCGCGAGCAGCTGGCCACCGCGCCGTAGCAGCTGGTGTCTGAGCTGGGCGGGCTGCTGGGTCTGCTGCTCGGCTGCTCGGCGTGGACGCTGGTGGCCTTCGCCTGGCGCATCGTCAGCTCGCTGTGCCGCCTCGGCCGTGTGCCGGACGGCGGCCGGCATCAGCACCCGCTCTCCAGCGTCGCTGCGTTGGCCTAGGCTACCGACGGCGACGG